GTGAGGTGGTGCAGGCTCCCACCCTGGGGGTTTTTAAGAGGAGGTTGGATGACCACCTTATTGGGGTCATTTGACCCCAGTGCTCTTCCTGCCATGGCAGGGGGTCGGACTAGATGATCTGCTCAGGTCCCTTCCGACCCTAGAAACTATGAAAGAGAAATTAAAGCCAGCATTTTAATTAACTTCCACAGGATATGTGGAAATATTTAATCCCATATCTGTTATGACTACTCTATTTTCTCCTTCCTAGCACCAGCTTTAAAAAAGCTCCATATATACTATGTGACACGAAGCACATTACTTTTGCTTCTTTTATGTTCCTGCGTGCTTAATTTTGTATATATACTATGCCAATTAATGCACTAGATTGAGTTTAAATAAATAATGGTGATAATTTGTCAATGGTGATGAAATCCATAAACCTTATTTTATGCTGGACTTGCTTTTTTTCAAAACACAAAAAAGATATTAACTAGTTCAATCTCACAACACCACGAAGAGACAAATAAATTATTATTACTCTCATTTAAAAATGAGGGAACTGAAGCATAGGAGCTTCAAGTGTCTTGCTTAAGGTTAGGGGAGATCAGACAGTTCAACTCCTGGTTCCCAAGCAGGTGCGATGAGGACTACATCGAACCTCTTCTAGTCCAATGCTTATTACTTTTTTATTTTTTTGGCAATGCAGCCCATATTATGGTACGCCCTTTCCAAACCTAAAAGGAAGCACAGTCATGCTCTGCAGAACATATTTTGTAACATTAAAAATGCCTGGGGCAGATCTAATGACACACCTGAAGATGTTCCAGTGTTTCCAGCAGCTGTAACTTGTCAATCTGGTCACCACTGCTTGCCCTAATTCGAAGAACCTGGTCTCTATTTAAAAAAAAAAAAAAAGCCTTATTCATAGTTTATGGGAAACAGACATAATTTAACTAACTTGGTATCATTCTTTATGAGAATATATGGCAAAAGCATTGATATACCTAACTATCGTAAAAGCAACCAGGACTCACAGTAGAGGTGATATCTTTTATTAAACCAACTTGATTTTTGCACAAAAAAAAAAAAATCTTTAATTGCAAGCTTTTTTTTTTCTTTCAAAAATCGAGTTGGTCTATCAAAGATATCCCCTCTACTATTAGGCCTGGATGGTTTTTTTCCTCTAGACCAATATGGCTACAACCTGGATACCTAGCTTTCTAAAAGGCATTTGACAGTACCACACAATAGCTTGATTTAAAAAACTACAAAACTGACATGACCCCTCTTAAATGGATTAAAAAGGAGACAACTAACAGGTCTCTTAATTGTAAAGGAGGAATTGTCATTGGACAGGTGTGTTTTTAGTGATGTTCTTCAGGAATCAATTTTTTGGCCCTTTGCTATTTACAATTTTTATCAATGACCTGAAAGCAAGTATTAAATAATTCCTGATAAAATTCACAGATGAAACAAGGTCAGGGAAGAGTGTTATATTAAAAAGAATGCAAGTCACTGAAATAGACTGGTCTGAATTACCTGATGTGTTTGGCACAAGCAAACAAGATATTTTTCCATATAGAATAATGTATGATCAATCACAACAGAAATAGAAAATGTCAGCCATACTTACAGGATAAGGAACTCGGTCCTGGAAAGCAGCAGCCTTCACAAAAACTGAAGGATCAGTATGAAAGTGAGATCCAAGCATACTGCTATAGCTTTATTTCTGATTTGATAGGTATTGGGACAATTTACCAAGGGCTGTGATGGATTCACCACCCCTGGAAATGTTTCTATCCAGATCAGATCTTTATCGAAAGGCATAATCCAGTTTAATCACAGCTACTGGATGTGAAGCAGGAATCAATTCAAGGAAGTCCCGTAGGCTGTGCTATGCAGAAGCCAGACTTGAGCTCTTATGACCTTAAAAATCTATTAAAATCAGCTCTCAGATATGCTGCTACATATATTGTAGTCCTTTATTATTTTGAGGGAGGTATTTGTTATACATGGAGGTTTGTTCACTGGCCTCTGGTGTCTATGTCCCACATCCTAGTGAACAAATACCACATTTTCCACCATATTCTATTCAGGTTCCTATGTACTCAGTGAGATTTCGGAGCAATACACCTGGAGAAGATACATTGTAATTTACATTTTAATTGTGTCACATATTTTCTATGCAAATACATCAGTTAAACTTGGTATCATGAGATTATTGTCATTGCTGCCCTCACTGGGTATTATCGATGTGTTGTCAGGGTTGAAATTTCAGGGACTGCTGTACTGGCAAAAAGTCACGGCCAGGAGATCCCAACACCAGTCTTGTCTTAAAGAATGACCACAGGCTTAGTTTGGTGGCAAAGGCACGGCCCTAATACACTTGTGATCTGACACGCTGCGTTTATGCCCGCGACAAGGTATTGGCACACCACCATGTAGGCTTTCCTAGGCCAGTGCAAAGTTCCCATAATTTCTAATGATCCTTTTATACAGTGATCAAAACAAATTACATATTACATTCCACTAATACCTTGAATATCTTGGACCGCCTTGTACCATGGGCTTGTTCAACATCCAGACCTCGTGTTTCTGTTCCAGTGTTATCATCCCGGTACTGGACTATTCTATACCTTGTACAGCCATCTCCTCCTCATCTCCCGACAGGAGTGCATATCTGGCCCACATGCCAAGTTTTGCTTATATGAGGAGTTCAGGCATTAGTCAGGTTCATTGATCAGGCCTCTACTGGCCAAAGTCTTTAGCAGAGCCTTTGTGTGAGCAATATGCATACTGGTGATCAATGTTTCAGTGAAGCGTACAGAGATATTTTCAGTACAAATTGCTTAGTACATTCCTAAAAAAAGATTAAAGATTTATACAAAAAAAAGAATCTTCAATGAAACTAGCAAGAAAAAAATGAACAGGTTATGCAATCTTCATGCTTGAAAAATGTGGCTGAATCTGAATTTTGCAAAGGTCTGGGACTGAAAGGAACAGGCAGGTGGCAGACTGAGTGCAAACACAGACTGGTTTTTGTTAAAAGTTTTGCTCAAAGATCACAAACCTTCAGCTTGATCCTGGGGGCAAGTTTGAGTGAACTTGCAGACAGATCATAATTTTATGTTAAAACGACATGAAACTTGGTATATTCAATTGAGTTTTACTTCTTTTCCCTGCCTTACTAGAATTTCAACCCCCACTCCCTTCCCCCCGCTCCCCCCCAAATAACCAAAACTCAAGGGGCTGTGAATAAGAGATGGTCCTGGATCAACAAACTGAACCTCAACACCCCTGTGCACTGAAATGAGATTCTAATTGCTTCATTGGAAATTGCTTCTGTTTCTAGAAAGAGCTGGGTCAAATCCACAGAACTGAACGTTATGCGTTGTTGTGTGGTTCAGATCCAGGTCCAGATCCAGCCTTTTGAGGCTTATCCCTCCATGCAATAAGGTAAAGCAAAAGCCTTAGCAAGCTTGAAAGTTCAGGAAATTTGGATCTGTACCCAAACTCTGCAGACTGGACCCATCTCTCTTGTGAAATCTGATCAAAACAAAATAAAAGCTTTCTTTCAAACTCCTGAACACCAAAACCATCATGTTTCTAGGTCATTAGCTATAGCGTGTATCTAAATACATTATATGGCTTTTAGTCCTTTTGAAAAACTGGGGCATGTCCACACATTCATGAATGCACCTTAGCTACTGTGCATTAAGTTCAGCATCTCTAATATGAGGTACTACATAAAGGTGCATTAACCTGTGCTCATGCAGAGTAACAAAGGCAAATGAGTTTTTTGTGACATTTAATGCGCAGTAGACTAATTCTACTGCGCATTAGCATGGTTTCTGCTGTGACATTAATGCACAATAGAATAATCCACTGTGCATTAAGGAATCTCATGTAGCCCTGGGTGTCACAACTGTTTCATGATCTCAGTGGAAGTGTTTACATGTCGCCGTACAGCGACATAGTGATGCACTACATTGCCATATGGCATGCTACAGTGACATAGCAATCACGTGGGTCTACACATGATCGCCAGCTATGTCACCGTTGTGGTAATGTAGCTAGTAAATCTAACTGTGTGCCACCCATACGCTGCAATACAGGCGGCTACTGCGCCATGTTTTAGTACTTCCCCCAAGCGAGTACTAAAACACAGCTCAGTACGAACATTGCCCTACAGCAATGTGTAGACATGCCCTCGGAGTAAAAGGTGAGGTGCGCAGGAAGGATCAAGATGATATTTTGCAAAAGCTGATCAATAATGAAAAGCAAAGCATGTGCCTTAAACTGACTGCATTAACTAAGAGTCTGGAACAAGGAAAAATTTCTGAAAAACATGTCCTCTGAAACAGAGATCTTCTATTAAAATATAACTCACCCAGAAAAAGTTTCCATGCACCAGGCAGCCCCAAGGAGGGCGCTGACGAACAGCAGCAGTCTCATGTTAGAAGGACTAACCAGAAACTGGAGATTGGTGGTCTAGCAAGCTTGTATTTATATAGGCTTCTCTTCCTGGAAAGTGATATCTGAATCCCCATACGAATAAATTCCCACATATATCATAACTCTCAAGGTCATGCACAGATAGGGACTTAATTTCTCCTCTCAGGATATTTACCATTCTGTCACGCTGAGCCAAAGTGACCCCAGTGGACGCTCACAAAGGTCTCTCCTCCCCAAGAAGAGATTCACATTGGCGGAAGGAGATTTCCACGAATGAAGCTGAGAGCAGCTTAACTCCTGCTGGAGATACACAGGAGCTCCACCAGCAGGCTCGGTAAGAACTGCTCACTTCTGGCATTGCATTAGTATCTAACAGCCCCTTAGGGTGGCATTTTAACAGTATAAACTGTTCAATTTGCCCAGGCCCCCCACCCCCTTTCCATTGCCATTATGTTTAATGGGGTTGTCCAATGAAGAATAGGAGTCTTAACCTCTGTGCAAGGTCCCCAAAAGTCAAATTCCACTGCCATGGTCCTCTATCAGTGACAGAGGTTGCAGCCAATGTGCCCCACTTTACTCAGGTACATCAGCAGAGCCTCTGCTATCACCTTTGCTCCGCAATTAATTTGTCCCCCTGTATTTAAGATGGAGGAACTCTGTTCTGCCCACTGTGGAAAGAGATGTACTTAACCAAGCCATGCCTAGTAAAGCCATTTATATTTTTAAATAAATGCCCTTACGCATACATCAGTCAGCATATTGTGCTGGGCACATTTATTGTCTGTAGCCAAGTTTTATTGAAATGACTCCCTCAGTGTTGTGCTTTCACCTAGATTCTGCCCCTCTAATGGATTCAATCAAGTAAGGGTCCAAATAAAACTCAGAAATTAAGCATATCATGTGCTAATTCCCCAGCAGCAGTTCTCTTCTCGTGGGTTACCCTTCCCAGGAAGAGACGACACAGGATGGAAGAAATGTTGGGACAGCCATTGCCTTGTCCTCTTCGCTTTGCAGTGAAAACAGGGCTGTTCCCTGATCCAGGGGTCCCCCACATTCCTTTGCTTCTGCCCTGTCTTTTTCTGCCGACGGCTGTCAGTGCTGGGGATGTTTTCTGTCTCACTCTCCTTCCATGAGGATGCACCTGAGTTCCAGTCCTCACTGTCTGTGTCCGAGGAGTGGCTGTCAGAGACGTTCTGCTGGCTGAGCTTTGTGAAAAACCTCTCCGGCCTCCTTTCTAAGGGGTACCCGGCTGTAGGTACCTCCGAAAACAAGGCAGCCTTTTTGTTTTTCCAGCTGAAAAACTTGCTGACACAGTCCCAGAGGCTGAACTTGCAGGATTTCCTGGGAACTAACATGAGACAGAAAAAAACAGCTTAACTGCACTGTAACCATCATTGACCCTTACTTGTAATGTCTTCAGTTTTCCTACCTTTGAAGGGCTAGAGAAGCATGGGGGAAGGCAAAACTGATGCAAAAATATGTCCTCAGAGACAACAGTAGGTACATTGGATGAGAGCAACATCCCGATAGCTCAGAACACATTAGACAGTGCTTCCCTTGAGGAGGCTTGTCGAGATCTAATCCTAATTTGCCCTGCTTTGCTTTAAAGCTGCTGCTTTCTGTGATGGGTCCTCAGGCAACTTCAAATAGGTCTTCTCCCATTGATATGACCCAATGCTACCCATCACTTTCACACTAAAAGGAAGGCAAAGGTATGGATGGATCCTATCTGTACTGATGTACAACAATTGCCCCATTGGTATGAACCATCTCCTTCAAACCCCTATGCCACAATTTATAAGAGTACAGCAAAGACACACTATGCCAACACACAGACTACACATTGATGGCCCTGGACTTTATAGATTTTGGGGACTACACCCATGCTGTTCCATGGGAAGCAAACTCTCCTCCTCTTCTTTTTGAAAGAGTCAGGCACCAAGAACTTCTGGAGGGAGTGGACAACATCACAAGAGAATCTGCAGTTTTCAGTGTGAAAAATAACCCAGGTAGAGAGGACAATCTGGCCTAGAGTTTATATCCTTCAAGGTTTTTCTACTGAATTGTTAAAATGATTAACCCTCCTCTTGCTTTACTGCTTTATGACACAAAAAGATTAGAGCAGTACTGCAGCTCCCTTCATTATTTGTGGTATACATCTTGAGGATTCAGAGATTGCCAACCTGTGCTGGCAGACATCAACTAGTCCCAAGGCAGGCCAGCCAGGGGCCGCTTGTTCTGTATTAGTAAAGATGATGCACATGAGTCCAGGGGAAGAAGGAAGGACACAGAGTCCACACACAATCCTCACTGTGGCAAAATGGCAGAAGAGAGGTGTCTCAAACGAGAACCATGAAGAAGCAGCATTGCCGTGTAAAAAGTAAAGCCTTGTATGCATCTTGCAAACCAAATTTAAATAGTTTGTTGCATCTTTCGGAGCCCCTTCTCTATTTGCAGACAGCCTGGAGGTGTATAACCTGATACAGTCAATGGTATCTGCAGGTAAATTTGGCAAGTCCTGTATGAGCGAATTGATGTCTAACCCAAAGGAAGGTATTGTGGAGGCTGTAGGATGACCAACAACCCATCTGTAAGAAAACAACGAGCCCTACGCAAGCAGTCTTGTGTAGTCTAATTCTCTTTTCCAGGAATGAGACTAGCGCATTCATATAACCCCTGCTTTAAGATTATTTAAGTTCCTGTAACCACAATTCCCTTTACACTGACCTTGCTTTTCTTATCATTGTTGCTCTTATGTGGACTCTTTCTGTTTTATCATGACTTTTCAATAGTGAGATGCCCATATCTGCATGCAGAGGAAAATTCTTCTCTTTTCATGCCAGTGAAAATGAGGGGCATTACTTTTGGGGTTTAAATAAGAGAGTTTCACCTATTATTTCAAATGGGGCCTCAGTGATGCAGCATACATTACTCTCTAATGATTAAAAGCACCTCTCTAGAGATCACATTTACTTCTTAAGCATTGGTCCACTTGTTTCAAACACTTTTGAAACCTTTGTAGAATGCGTATTTACCATCTGGGTTGCTAGTCCACTTGTCAGAAGGCAGTTCTTCATCTTCATTTCTCTGGCTAATCTGTTTCAGGAAAACATGAATAAATGGCATGGATTTATGAATGGTGCCTACACTGTTTCTAAAAATGTTTGCAGGCTAGTGACAGGTGCCATCCTGATTGCCCACAGGATTGAATTTTACTGTCCATAGGTCAGCTCTCGCAGCAGTGGCACAAGAAACATTACCTGACAGCTGTACCTCAATTGTGCCTGCCACGGCTGTTCCTCTATGACACACCATGTGGGATGTGCCCTCTTGGAGGGGCATGAAAGGTTCCTGGGGGAGAGGGGGTGCAAGGAAGGGCAATATGAGCAGTGTGATTGTTGTGTGTGCACAAAAGCATCAAATGAAATTTAGCGGCTGGGGCACAGGGCACAAGAGTGTGTAGGTTTACTACGGTGGGATATAAATCCAAAAAGTTGGGGAAACGCTGCTCTAGAAGAAACTTGGCACTAATAGGAAGAGAATTAAAAGGCTAGCTTTTCAGCTGAGACTTCCAATAAGAGGAATAATTAGTGCTCTGATCCTGTGAAACCCCAAACTCATTTTGCGTGGGCTAGCAGATAATTTATGTCTTTTGCTACAAAGCTGAGATGGACCTGAATCAGATATGCAGGTGAAGAGCTGTCTCTCACTAATTCCTGGAGCCATCCAATTACACTCCCCACTACCACAGCTCAGTTTATTATTGGCTACCAATGATTAACTAATAATGATATAAACACATTAAGTTTATAAGAAAAAATAAGCATTTCAGCTATCCCTGATGCAGTTTTTATATATGTGTCTGTTCTTTTTAGTGGCTTGTTGCAATGCCATTAGTATGGAAGGAGTAGAGATTTTGTCTATGATGTATAAAAATCAGCAGCAGCATTTTGGGACTGGGATCCTCATTCTGATCTCCCTTCACACCATGTGATAGGTGTCAGTCCTATACCATTGTATCAACAATAATAATATCTACTTAAGATTGTTAGCTCTTTGGGCCTGGATAATCTCTTTGTGATCTGCGAGCATATGACCTTCACAGGAATGCTGATCCCTGGCTCAAGTCTTTGGAGTTTCCACAATAAAAATAGTGAATAGAATAATAATCTTACCCAGATATAAACACGGTAGATGAGAGTTATAACCACAATCCCAATGCAATAGGAAAGCAGGATTTGCCCTACAACTCCACAAAAGCCGTCAGCATCCCCATTCTGCTCCTTGTAATCTTGTTCTTGGTTGGGGTCAGCATCTAGAGGGCTTTTATGTAAATAAAGCCACAAAAAAGAAAGAAATGAAAACCCCATTCAGTTTAGTTGCTTAAAGCAGAGGACAGTAGTGTTCCTTCTTATAGGACATGGGATAAAAGAGGTTAAGATGCAACGTGTTGCCTTGGTAACCTATTGTTGACACTGATTTGTCTTGGAACCTGTAACAGGAAGTGGTCAGAATACGTTAATGACATCGTCCTCAGAACCATGGTAACACGAATGGTTGGTCTAAGTACAAAGAAAGCCTGTTGGACAATCTTATGAAATTGCATGTTTCCCATACTGTGTTTAGGTCTTTTTAGCCTGGTCTGTATTAGGCTGAGTGCTCTGTTCCTTCTGGGGGCCCTGGGAGCATAAAGTATTCAGCATCTTATAAGACTGGACCCATCATTTTCCAGAATTGGGAAAAGAGTCAGGGGCCAGGGTTGTTTCTACTGGGAGGGAGGGTACCAGGAGCCTGGTGCAGTAGGGAGAGCAGAGGAAGGGGCCAGCTGAGGAAAAGTGGGAGCCGGGCAGAGGTGTGAGGCAGTGGGCAAGCAGCAGCAGCCCCATCCTGAGCCGCAAGCAGGGAAGCAGGCACCCAGGCACAGCATGGAGCCAGCACCAGGGTGTGGGTGGCTGTTGTGAGGCACAAAGCTCACCTGTTCTTGCCCTTGCCCAGCAAAGAGTTGCTCAGGCAGCGGCAGCATAGGTGGGTACACCTCCAGCCCACTGGATGAGAGGAAGTGCAGGAAGGGATTGGTATCTTCAAATGTTCAGTCTATTTTATTTAAGTTTTATAAATATTTAATTTATTTAATAAATATAAAAAGTAAAATCTGTGTATTTTTATTTGAAATCCATCTGTCATTCTTGATGGGCAATTCACAGTACACCATAAATGGTTAAAATCAGATAAGACAAAAGCAAATTAGTTACTTTTGAGATGTAGGTGTCATAACCGATATTTTACTTCCTGTTTGAGACTTCCACTCATTCCTATTTTTACTTTCTTTTATAATGTGACTTACATGTGAGCAATCCCTTCTCTTTGAGAGCTTTCTGCACTGTTCTGCATCATACAGCACTGAAACAATACACAAACCATGGCACCTAGAAGTGCAAGGATAACATAAATATCACTTCTCAACAGGCATATATGGTCTGCTGCTTTGTGTCATGGTCACACTGGAGCTCTGCTGTATTCCTGATATCCTGCCACCCAGACACGCTATGGCCTAACACCATATCGCTAACTTCACAATGGTGTGTCACTTCATGGTGTGGGGGATGACATGGTGGTGATGTTCCAATATATCATTAACATTATATTATATTACATTAAATATATATATAATGTAATAAAGTAGAATGTATGTATCATGTATAATGTCCACTGATGGGACCTGATGATGCATTAACATAATGTATTAACATTATATATTGACTGGAACATTGATCAATATACAGGCAGTCCTCGACTTATGTTTTGAGTCACAATGTTTCGTACTTACAACGTTTCTAAATTGACACCGTTTCAACTTTCTGACGTCAGTTTCGACTTTAAACACTTGATCTGACACCACGCCATGCCGGCGAACAAGTTTGCTGCGTTGCCCATCCCCCTGGAGAACATCTGTCCAAACTTCCTTGGACACTTTTTTTAAGAAAGCAGACAAGACTCCAGAGAAACCTGCAGCCAAGACTCCTGAGAAGATGCCAGCCAAGAACCCTTCAAAAAGTCCAGCCTAGTCACCTCAAAGAAGTCCTTCCAAATCAATATGATTGCTATTTACAATGTAAATACATTCATGTAGCTATATTACTCCTCTATAATTGACTGAGTACAAAATTCCTGGTTATTTTTGGTGAAAATAGGGTATCAGGGCTTGGTTCAGGAACCAATCTCCATTTATAACGTTGTTTCCTATGAGAGAATTGGTTCCGAGTTGCAACGCTTCCACTTAAGATGCTGTTTTCAGGAACCAATTGTGTCGTAAGTCCGAGGACTGCCTGCATACTGCTCCCAAAGACTTTGCTAAAGCATTGGTCGGAGTAGCCCTGCCCTGCAAGCCTGACCGACGCACGAACTCCTTACATGTAGCAAAACTTGGCACGTGGGCCAGGTGGGCGCTCCTGCCAGATGGAAGGTGAGCTGGCTGTACAAGGTGTAGGATAGTCCCGTTTCAGGATGATTAAGGCTAGAACGGGAACACCCAGATCAGGATGGGAAAGAAGCCCATTGTACGGGACACTTTGAGACATTCGAGATCCACATGGATCGCAATATGGAAGGTGTTTTGATTGCTGTGTCAAATGAGGGCTAGAAAGTAGGGGAACTGCATGGTATTGTGCTGACCACCTTGTCACAGGTACTCCAAGCCCAATGTACTTCTGAGGCCAAAACACATTAGGGTTGTGCTCATGGACAACAAACCTGGACAAATCTTTGCCACCGAATCCTTGCCTGAGGTTAAGACGAGATTGGTGGTGGGATCTCGTGGCTGTGACATTCGCCAGCACGGCTTGTTCCTGAGACTTCAACCCTGGCGGCACACCAGCCACACGTGAGGAGGACAACAGCAACGAGGACACTGATAACACCTGGCGACACGGGGTAATGTGCCCCCCACACCGGCACGTCCTTCATTAATGCGACTTGCCCTGCGAGGGGCGGTAATATCACAACCTCCCACAATACTACGTGGCGTGGGAGCCTCTCAGGGACGTGCCAACAAGGCGATAACAGCATGCCGATACGTTGGCCCATGGCATGATTACGTCATAGGGAGGTGGTCACAGATGTCACGCTGACACATGGCACGGCGCCATCACAGCCCGCACCGCGTTGATGATGTCATGTCGACGCATCCCCACGTTGTGCTGGGCCGCTGCAACGAGGCCGTTTCCCTTCGACGTTGGCGTGACCACGTGCCTGGCACGTCGCCGCTCCTCCCTGACGTCGCTCCTGTTGTGCGCCCGCAGCAGTATAGCTGTGACCACGCCAACGACATCACGTTGACGTCATCGCAACGACAGCTGTGTCCCTGAGGGAGAGCCCCGCTCAACCAATCCTCCTCACACCCACTCTCCCGCCAAAACGACCCGGCTGAGCAGGGAGAGGAACGCGGACCTCAACGACCTCCGCGTGACCTCAATGTCCGCCGCCCCGCCCCCGTCTCCATAGCTGCCAAGTCCCGCCTCCCCGCTAGGCGTCAGCGTCACTTCCGGCCGGCGCGAAAGTTCGCGCAGGCGTCGTGGCGGCGGGAGCCGGGTGCAGGCTGTTGGGCGCCTCACGTGGGCGGGGTGAGTGCTGGGGGGCTTCTGCCTGCCCCTCTGGGCTGGGGGGGCCGTACCACTAGAGGGGGCTGGGGCTGTACCAATAGTGGGAGCTGGGGCTGCATAGGCCTTACCAGTAGTGGGAACTGGGGCTGGATGGGCTGTACCAATAGTGGGAGCTGGGGCTGGATGGGCCGTACCAATGGAGGGTCTCGCTCCCTCTGTGGGGGCTGCATGGGCCGTACCAGTGGGGGCTCTGGCTCTCTCTGGGGCTGGATGGGCCATACCAATGGGGGGTCTGGCTCCCTCTTAGGCCAGTTGGGTGCTACCAGTGCCCCCTGTCTTGGGGGTGTTCCCTGCTTTGCTTGGGGGCAGCTTGCCCGCAGGTCTGGGGGCTCCGAGTGTGAGTCCTGCCTGGGGGAGGCTCAGCCCCCCATGCCGCCTGAGTGATGCATGCCACCCCTGCATCCCGTTCAGATGCCAGGGGCAGTGCAGGGCGTTCATGTAGCTCCCGGGCTTGCACTGGCTGCACTTGGAAGAGCAGGAGTGATCCTGGGCTTGCGTGCAGCGATACCACCCGCCTGACGAGCTCCCTGGCCACGGAAAGCAGGAGACGGGGTTAGAGGAGGCTGGGGCTGCTGTGCTAGGGTCCGGACTGCCCACAAAGTGCCCAGAAGATACTGAAAGTACTAAAAAAAAGGATCACTCCCATGCTGTGCAATGCTAGTATCCGGGGGGTTTGCAACTGAGCTGTGACTAGCGCGATTCTGCGCAGCGAGCTGCTCCCCGAGTCAGAGTATCGTCTTCTCCATCTCGGTGTAGGAGGCCGGCAAGCATTGCGGGAGATGATGGTGGAGGAAGGGTGGTGACTGGTTCGGTGATGGGGATAGCGAAGATGACGATAATGCTTGGAATAGAGAAATCCCATACTTTGAAAAGGAGAAAACTATTATCGTCATAAATGCGATGAGCTACAGATCAAGCTTTTGAGGGTATTGCAGGGATTTTAGGAGTGAAGTCTGCAATACAATCGTTTGCGTCCATTAAAGGGAAAGGGAATGCTTTGTGTAGGAAGTCTGCAGGGTCATAGATTCATAGATTCATAGATTAAGGGTCGG